ATCACAATGTGCAAGATGGTGAGGGGGAAGAGACGAGGTGATAAGGTAGCGTCTTCCAGACGAGGCACAACAGAAAGAAGGTCAAGGTGAAAGGAGGAAAGACAGAAGAGCCAAAGAGTGCTCTACAGGCGGAAGGAGAGCAGGAGGGAATTGTCAGGGGAAAGCACCAAAACATTAGGACTATATATAGCATTGGGAAAGGTTCAGGATAAGGATTTGGGATGGGACGGAGGAAAAGGAATGGTGCCCAACCACTTGGACGGTCGGAGATTGAACGCCGACCTGCATACATTCTGGAAGTCATTTCCAGAATTGTTTTACTTCTGGTAAGACCCCCCTTGAGCGTGCCAGAAGTGTTGGAAGCCATCACCATTCACAGCATCAAGAGGAGGTATGACAGAGAACTCGAAAGTTGGGATTTACAGATACACCAAATACAATACCAATGATGCCGGGCTCAAGAGCTAAAATATCCCTTCAAGTTGACACAACTAGGCAAGGACACGGAGACAGAGCCAACTAGGCAAGGACACGGAGACAGAGCCAACTAGGCAAGGACACGGAGACAGAGCCAACTAGGCAAGGACACGGAGACAGAGCCAACTAGGCAAGGACACGGAGACAGAGCCAACTAGGCAAGGACACTCAGACAGAGCCAACTAGGCAAGGACACGGAGACAGAGCCAACTAAGCAAGGACACGGAGACAGAGCCAACTAGGCAAGGACACTCAGACAGAGCCAACTAGGCAAGGACACTCAGACAGAGCCAACTAGACAAGGACACTCAGAGCCAACTAGGCAAGGACACTCAGAGCCAACTAGGCAAGGACACTCAGAGCCAACTAGGCAAGGACACTCAGACAGAGCCAACTAGACAAGGACACTCAGAGTCAACTAGGCAAGGACACTCAGAGCCAACTAGGCAAGGACACTCAGAGCCAACTAGGCAAGGACACTCAGACAGAGCCAACTAGACAAGGACACTCAGACAGAGCCAACTAGACAAGGACACTCAGACAGAGCCAACTAGACAAGGACACTTAGACAGAGTCAACTAGACAAGGACACTCAAACAGAGCCAACTAGACAAGGACACTTAGACAGAGCCAACTAGGCAAGGACACTCAGAGCCAACTAGGCAAGGACACTCAGAGCCAACTAGACAAGGACACTCAGACAGAGCCAACTAGGCAAGGACACTCAGAGCCAACTAGGCAAGGACACTCAGAGCCAACTAGACAAGGACACTCAGACAGAGCCAACTAGGCAAGGACACTCAGACAGAGCCAACTAGACAAGGACACTTAGACAGAGCCAACTAGACAAGGACACTCAGACAGAGCCAACTAGACAAGGACACTTAGACAGAGCCAACTAGGCAAGGACACTCAGACAGAGCCAACTAGACAAGGACACTCAGACAGAGCCAACTAGACAAGGACACTTAGACAGAGCCAACTAGACAAGGACACTCAGACAGAGCCAACTAGACAAGGACACTTAGACAGAGCCAACTAGACAAGGACACTTAGACAGAGCCAACTAGACAAGGACACTCAGAGCCAACTAGACAAGGACACTCAGACAGAGCCAACTAGGCAAGGACACTCAGACAGAGCCAACTAGACAAGGACACTTAGACAGAGCCAACTAGACAAGGACACTTAGACAGAGCCAACTAGACAAGGACACTTAGACAGAGCCAACTAGACAAGGACACTCAGACAGAGCCAAATAGACAAGGACACTTAGACAGAGCCAACTAGGCAAGGACACTCAGACAGAGCCAACTAGACAAGGACACTCAGACAGAGCCAACTAGACAAGGACACTTAGACAGAGCCAACTAGACAAGGACACTTAGACAGAGCCAACTAGACAAGGACACTTAGACAGAGCCAACTAGGCAAGGACACTCAGACAGAGCCAACTAGACAAGGACACTCAGACAGAGCCAACTAGACAAGGACACTTAGACAGAGCCAACTAGACAAGGACACTTAGACAGAGCCAACTAGACAAGGACACTCAGACAGAGCCAACTAGGCAAGGACACTCAGACAGAGCCAACTAGACAAGGACACTTAGACAGAGCCAACTAGACAAGGACACTCAGACAGAGCCAACTAGACAAGGACACTTAGACAGAGCCAACTAGACAAGGACACTTAGACAGAGCCAACTAGACAAGGACACTTAGACAGAGCCAACTTGACAAGGACACTTAGACAGAGCCAACTAGACAAGGACACTCAGACAGAGCCAACTAGACAAGGACACTCAGAGCCAACTAAACAAGGACACTCAGACAGAGCCAACTAAACAAGGACACGGAGATACAGCCAACTAAACAAGGACACGGAGACACAGCCAACTAAACAAGGACACGGAGACACAGCCAACTAAACAAGCAAGCACACGGAGACACAGCCAACTAAACAAGGACACGGAGACACAGCCAACTAGGGTAGTTCACACACACGTCTTTGTCGTGGCAGGGAAGAGTCAGGGGTGGGAAAGCGCCGGTGGGCAGCCTCCATCCCAACACTTGGTATTTATTCAACAAACACCGCTGCAGCACTCACGCAACCAAACACACTCACAAGCGCACGCATGTGCACACGCATGGATGCGCGCGCACACGCTGAGGAAATAAATCCACGTAAAGGGCAAAATAGAGAAGCGGAGACCCCTCGGAGGACAAATCAAGAGACTCATAGACTACTGTTCCTGCGATATAAATGACCCACCATGGCAAGCTGAGTTATACAGGAAGATTACGGTGACACAAATTAACGAGGTGGATACAGAGGCTGAGTTATACTCGTCCTCTGTATAAATTTATATATATATATGTATATATATATATAAATGAGTTATACTCATTTATATATATATATTATATATGACTGAAAACTCACACCCCAGAAGTGACTCGAACCCATACTCCCAGGAGCAACGCAACTGGTAACTACAGGGCGCCTTAATCCGCTTGACCATCACGGCCGGACAAAAGGAAGTGGTAGCCGAAGCTATTTGAACCACTTCCCCGCCGGCAACTCTGATGGTAATCTTGGGCATAGCATTTCACCAAATCACCTCATTCTTTGGGGCACACGTGAGGAACACAAATGCAAACAAGCCTGAATGGTCCCCAGGACTATATGCGACTGAAAACTCACACCCCAGAAGTGACTCGAACCCATACTCCCAGGAGCAACGCAACTGGTAACTACAGGGCGCCTTAATCCGCTTGACCATCACGGCCGGACAAAAGGAAGTGGTAGCCGAAGCTATTTGAACCACTTCCCCGCCGGCAACTCTGATGGTAATCTTGGGCATAGCATTTCACCAAATCACCTCATTCTTTGGGGCACACGTGAGGAACACAAATGCAAACAAGCCTGAATGGTCTCCAGGACTATATGCAACTGAAAACTCACACCCCAGAAGTGACTCGAACCCATACTCCCAGGAGCAACGCAACTGGTAACTACAGGGCGCCTTAATTGGCTGTTATATATATATATATATATATATATATATATATATATATATATATATATATATATATATATATATATATATATATATATATATATATATATATATATATATATATATATATATATATATATATATACATATATATATATATATATATATATATATATATATATATATATATATATATATATATATATATATATATATATATATATATATATATGAGGTGGATACAGAATGATCTTACTCCTGGTAAGACCCTCTGGAGCGTACCAGAAGTGTTGGAAGCCATCACCATTCACAGCATCAAGAGGTATGGCAGAGAACTCGAAAGTTGGGATTTACAGAGGCATCTGCTTGATGGGGTTCTGGGACTTCTTCTACTTCCCTTGTGACTTGTGAGAGTTTGGTCCACTAGGCTGTTGCTTGGAGCAGCCCGCAGGCGCACATACCCACCACAGCCCGGTTGGTCCGGCACTCCTTGGAAAAAAAATCTAGTTTTCTCTTGAAGATGGCCACGGTTGTTCCGGCAATATTTCTGATGCTCGCTGGTAGGACGTCGAACAACCGTGGACCTCTGATATCATTACAGTGTTCTCTGATTGTGCCTATGGCACCTCTGCTCTTCACTGGTTCTATTCTGTATTTTCTTCCATATCGTTCACTCCAGTACGTTATTTTACTGTGCAGATTTGGGATCAGTCCCCTCCAATATTTTCCATGTGTATATTATTTGGTATCTCTCTCGTTTCCTTTCTAGTGAGTTCATTTGGAGAGCTTTGAAACGATCCCAATAATTTAGGTGATTTATCTCGTCTATGTGTGCCGTATATGTTCTTTGTATTCCCTCTATTTCAGCAATCTCTCCTGCTCTGAAGGGGGAAGTGAGTACTGAGCAGTACTCAAGACGGGACCAAATACAATACCGAATACAAATACAAATACAAAACCTTGTTGTACAACATTTGATACATGCAAGGTACAAGGCTACTTGTCACAAGTTGTAGAGTTCCTCCAGCTCCTCGGATGGCGGGCAGGAACCATAGATGCAGTGAGCATTTCCTCTCTGGATCGCCACAGTAAGGCGCTGAAAGAGGAAACTGGTGGCTCTAGGGGTTTATGTAAATATAATTTATATAATTAGCCTTAACTACAAGAGACATAATTTAACTTCATGATTTACTGAGGCAGAAAACAAGTGTTTCCTTGTATCACAATAGCCTCAATAGGCCTGTGCGTCGGGCCGAAAACACAAAAAATTATTACATCTGGATCCACGTTAAAAGGTTTTCTGAGATGTTGGCACACGTCCAGAACGCTGTCTCCGAGATGGTGTCAGGTGACGACCAGGAGGTACAGCGCCTCCTGCTACACACGACTCCTCGAGGCGCGCTCCCCTCCCCCTCCTCCTGTGCTCAGTCTGTGAGCCTAAGTGGTATCTGGGAACCCGTGGGAGGAGTGCGGGTGAGAGGCAACAGGTTTTACTGCTATGTTAGACCTGCGGCGGCCTCACACTATCTCTCATAGCACTCATACGACGACCCTCCAGCGCCCTCACACTATCTTTCATAGCACTCATGCGACGACCCTCCAGCGCCCTCACACTATCTCTCATAGCACTCATACGACGACCCTCCAGCGCCCTCACACTATCTTTCATAGCACTCATGCGACGACCCTCCAGCGCCCTCACACTATCTCTCATAGCACTCATACGACGACCCTCCAGCGCCCTCACACTATCTCTCATAGCACTCATACGACGACCCTCCAGCGCCCTCACACTATCTCTCATAGCACTCATACGACGACCCTCCAGCGCCCTCACACTATCTCTCATAGCACTCATACGACGACCCTCCAGCGCCCTCACACTATCTCTCATAGCACTCATACGACGACCCTCCAGCGCCCTCACACTATCTCTCATAGCACTCATACGACGACCCTCCAGCGCCCTCACACTATCTTTCATAGCACTCATGCGACGACCCTCCAGCGCCCTCACACTATCTCTCATAGCACTCATACGACGACCCTCCAGCGCCCTCACACTATCTCTCATAGCACTCATACGACGACCCTCCAGCGCCCTCACACTATCTCTCATAGCACTCATACGACGACCCTCCAGCGCCCTCACACTATCTCTCATAGCACTCATACGACGACCCTCCAGCGCCCTCACACTATCTCTCATAGCACTCATACGACGACCCTCCAGCGCCCTCACACTATCTCTCATAGCACTCATACGACGACCCTCCAGCGCCCTCACACTATCTTTCATAGCACTCATGCGACGACCCTCCAGCGCCCTCACACTATCTCTCATAGCACTCATACGACGACCCTCCAGCGCCCTCACACTATCTCTCATAGCACTCATACGACGACCCTCCAGCGCCCTCACACTATCTCTCATAGCACTCATACGACGACCCTCCAGCCCCCCTCCCAACCTCACAGTAAAGAACACAAGGCACTCTAAGCACCCACCGTGCTAACGACCCCCCCACAACACAACACAACGCAACACAACACAGTAGGGCCATGCAGGCTCCCGGGACTGCCAGTGTGGCTCTCACTGCATCCTTTTGGCCCTGTGCCAGGATTTCGTCTCGTAGTGGGGTACGAACCGTGAAAAGTTGGGTGCGGTACACGGAGACGCCAAGTAACTCCGACAACAAGTGTGTTAAACCCACCTGGGTCAATTTCGTCGCCGATTTCGCCAAATGCATTGAGATCTTATCTTGAGGTTATCTTGAGATGATTTTGGGGCTTAGTGTCCCCGCGGCCCGGTCCTCGACCAGGGCCCCCCACCCCCAGAAAGCAGCCCGTGACAGCTGACTAACTCCCAGGTACATATTTACTGCTAGGTAACAGAGAGGCATCAAGGTTTAAAGAAACTCTGCGCATTGTTTCTCGCCGGCGCCCGGGATCGAACCCGAGACCACAGGATCACGCGCCCAGTGTTCTCTCCGCTCAGCCAGCGGCTCCCTGATGGCGACATGCGCCACAACGCACTAGTGCCTGCTGCGTCAGCTCCAATTCCTTATAGACTTCAAGTTGGCCAATTCGTCTGAATATGTTTCCTAAAATCGCTAAGTTTACACAATCCGCATTAAGTTCGAGTTTATGTGTGTCAAATTCATCAAATTCGATAGCAAGTCCAATGTCTACATTAACTTTAACCAAATTCGCAAAATCTACACAGTGTGCCAACACGAGACAAAGTTGGTCAACTTGTCACTGTACCAGTAAGTCAACCAAGCTCAGCAGGCGGCGCTAATTACACCAATTCCACCGAGTTTTCTACAGGTGGTTAACTTACATGCTACACTTGCTTTTCAATTTCTGTTTTGCTACGAGCACCCTGCACAGTAATTGAAATATTAGTCAGGGGGCTTAAAGTCTTTATCCTATCACAGTGTGTGTGTGTGTGTGTGTGTGTGTGTGTGTGTGTGTGTGTGTGTGTGTGTGTGTGTGTGTGTGTGTGTGTGTGTGTGTGTGTGTTTGCTAGTTGTGTTTACTAGTTGTGTTTTTGCGGGGGTTGAGCTTTGCTCTTTCGGCCCGCCTCTCAACTGTCAATCAACTGTTTACTAACTACTTTTTTTTTTCCACACCACACACACACACACCCCAGGAAGCAGCCCGTGACAGCTGACTAACTCCCAGGTACCTATTTACTGCTAGGTAACAGGGGCACTTAGGGTGAAAGAAACTTTGCCCATTTGTTTCTGCCTCGTGCGGGAATCGAACCCGCGCCACAGAATTACGAGTCCTGCGCGCTATCCACCAGGCTACGAGGCCCCCCTGTGTGTGTGTGTGTGTGTGTGTGTGTGTGTGTGTGTGTGTGTGTGTGTGTGTGTGTGTGTGTGTGTGTGTGTGTGTGTGTGTGTGTGTGTGTGTGTGTGTGTGTGTGTGTGTGTATGTGTGTGTGTGTGTGTGCGTGCGTGCGTGCGTGCGTGCGTGCGTGCGTGCGTGCGTGCGTGCGTGCGTGTATGCATCAACATATGCACTATTGATCCAACGCAACAGCCGACGAGGACCAGGTAACTGGTAACTGAACCACCAAAGGCGTAAGCCCCCCCCCCCCCCCCCCCCCCCGAGCAACGCCCTGTACTCTTCCAATAGTTTGACCAAACAAAGCACATAATTAACACACCGTATCTACCAACGGAGAGGCCATATATATATATTTTGGAACCACAGCCAGCCGAATATAACACTGCATTTACAATGTACAATATCATATGTTTTCCTCTAGAACACCAATTGAACCCCTCCTCCACATCTGGTTCTTACCTGGCATTAATTGAGCAGCGAGACACCTTCCCCTATACTTTGTAAAATATTAATCCAAATATCCATCGCTGATTAAGTGAGGTAACAACTCCCTTTCTATACAAATTAATTGCATGTTGCAAGCAACCTCAAATGTAAATCATGAATGCAATGATATGCCATAAGCAGTAATACGCTTGCATGTGAATGTAATACCCCTCTGTTAATAATAACATGCAATAATACCGCTCACCCCTCACATGCAGTAATACCCCTCTGTTAATAATAACATGCAATAATACCCCTCACCCCTCACATGCAGTAATACCCCTCACCTTCACATGCAGTAATACCCCTCACCCCTCACATGCAGTAATACCCCTCACCCTTCACATGCAGTAATACCCCTCACCCCTCACATGCAGTAATACCCCTCACCCCACACATGCAGTAATACCCCTCACCCCTCACATGCAGTAATACCCCTCACCCTTCACATGCAGTAATACCCCTCACCCTTCACATGCAGTAATACCCCTCACCCCTCACATGCAGTAATACCCCTCACCCCTCACATGCAGTAATACCCCTCACCCCTCACATGCAGTAATACCCCTCACCCCTCACATGCAGTAATACCCCTCACCCCTCACATGCAGTAATACCCCTCACATGCAGTAATACCCCTCACCCCTCACATGCAGTAATACCCCTCACCCCTCACATGCAGTAATACCCCTCACCCCTCACATGCAGTAATACCCCTCACCCCTCACATGCAGTAATACCCTACACAGTAGTCTAGGGGAAGCACGTATTCCCCTCACTTTATACGCCAGTCTCCCCTCGTGTTGCTATACAAATGCTAAAATTTACAGCTCAACACTGGGAAAGGAAATGTAAGGTGTCAGAAGATAATAAAAGGTATTGCTGGACAACGCATCTATATTATGCATCAGATCAGAGACAGTTGATATGACGTTATTTTGGGTAATATGTTTGTAAGTGACTGCTCCACAGTCATTGAATATATCATAATATTCTTATTTCTATTCATTAGTTCACTACCAATAAGGTTAGAGTCTTATAAACAAAAGTTTTTACAAAGTAAGAATCATTTATGAATCAATCGTATTAACTACCGAGCTGAAACTTGTTCACTTCAGGCAGCTCCGGTCCGCCAATCAACACTCGCTAATCTCATTCCAGGGATATTTTCCCCTCATTCCCAGAGTTTCAGATTCCATTCGTACTAGGAATCAGGCTCGCTCGCTCGGGTCCGGCCAACTTTTTCACGCGGACTTATGTACACCAATTAATAATCCAGTAATTAGATTCCAGTTAGGTGGGTTCTTTGTGAATAGAGCAAGATGTAAATTATTTGAACAGGGATTATCGTACGATGAATGGTGAGCTGATGAAGAACATTTAGTTGTGGGGATTTACATATTCAAACACATGTGCCTTTATATGCGTAGGATACACAGAGGAAGGCAAACAGCAACAGTCCGCTGGGTCCAAACGAGGGCATTTGTTATTGGTAAATTCATTGCGCGGCAAATAGTGGAAGGCTTATGACACTGCAAACAATTCAAGCTTATGACACCACACACAATTCAAGCTTATGACACCACACACAATTCAAGCTTATGACACCACACACAATTCAAGCTTATGACACCACACACAATTCAAGCTGATCACACAACACACAATTCAGGCTTATCACACCACACACAATTCAGGCTTATGACACTACACACAATTCAGCCTTATGACACCACACACAATTCAGGCTTATGACACCACACACAATTCAGGCTTATGACACCACACACAATTCAGGCTTATGACACCACACAATTCAGGCTTATGACACCACAAACAATGGTAGGTATAGTTTGAAAGAATTGACGCAACCTAATATTAAACATATACAAACTACTACACTACTGCTCTCCTGCGTCTTCTCCTCCATTATAGAAAACGTATTTCACTTCGTCGGTCTCAAATTGTTTGTCAATTATTTCCTAAACCATTGACGAGCGCGACGTTTGATCAGGAAATATATTGAAGTGGTTTCCCGATTCAAGATTCTCGAGCTTTACGATCATTTTAAATGCTTGTATTTAATCTCATCTTAATCACAAACGCTGAAGGACTGAATACATTCAGTGTTTACATCCATTCCGTTCTCACACTAGGCTGTTTAAAGCGGCGGCCGTTCTCCCCAAACGCATTCATCAATTTTAACATACTGTGTATTCAAACTTGGTTTGTTCTTATATATAAATTAATATTATTATACATAAACATTCTGTGTATAGTTGGGAGCAGGTAAGGTGTTTAGGTTTTGTTGGCGATAATTTGAAGTACGTGGGGGTGAAGCATTTATAGAATAGTGGTTCGAACAGAGGACGTGAGTGAAGTATTTGTTCCGGAGGTGTTCGGACGTCATCAGTTGAGAGTCGTGTGTAAATGGCTTTTCATTCCTAAACAGGGGGTTTGGCGGCTGGATTAACGGACTTGGATCTTTGTTTGCGAGGATAGGCTGGGTGACGGTAGTTGTGGTGGTGATGGTAGTTGTGGTGATAATAGTTGTGGTTGTGATGATAGTTGTGGTGGGGATGGTAGCTGTGGTGGTGACGGTGTAGTACCTATATGCACAGGTTGTGGCGGAAAAAGAGTTTATTGACAGTAATACGGAAACAAATGGCCTAAAAGGAGGGCCACCAGGCTGGGGGTGAGGTACCCCGAGGGGAGGCGGCGTGGACCCGAGGCCTCGTAGTACCTGCTGCTGGTGATGGATACAGAACCAATTTCAAAACGCAATTGCCCATTGCAGACCTTCTTGCACAGGCCCGAGGCATGGTCTATTTCTGGGGTAAAAACAATTTTCTTGGTGGAATTTGAAGGTTGTGTTTTTTTTCCTGTCCATTTGTGAGATTGGACTCGAACCTTGAGTAAAGGACTGTGTGCAAAATTGGCTCTTATCCGTGAACAGTTGTAGGTAAACGCGCGTATATATATATATATATATATATATATATATATATATATATATATATATATATATATATATATATATATATATATATATATATATATATATATATATGTATATAATATATTATTCGT